AACAAGTGAAAGATTGTACGATAAAATGGGTTAAGAACTTTGCATGGTTATATTGATGGAATAATGGCAAAATAAGTGGTTAAAAGGACTGAAATTTAATTTATGTTGTACCCTAAAAAAGAATTTTTATAAATGATGTACCGTTGGTATATGACTCAAGAAAAATTGTCTAGAATGTGTAAAGGTGCTTCAAATTTATATTGAAAATGTGGATAACACAAAGGGTGATTTTTATTATGACTGGTGGATTTGTACAAAAGCCAGAAATTGGGAGGGAGGGAGACAGGGAGGGAAGGAAGGAAGAAAAGATTGATTTCCTATTTCAATAGCCCAATCACATCAATCTCAGAGTTAATTCCAGCTGCTGTATGACATATATTTAGCTTCCCACCAAACTCATTCACTTGCTCTTAGGTCCAGTTTAGGAGGCTTTAAGACAAACTGGACCTCATTTGCAAACAGTACTTTGTTAAGATCTAATTAATTCCAAGAAAGTTCCAAGAAAATGGTTTTTTTTTTTTTACTTTTTCAGTGTTGTTGTTTTTTTTTTAAAAAAAAAAACTTTTTGGAAGAAGAATTTGCTTAAACCTTAAAACCTCTTCTTCTTTTTTAACCATTTGTTTTTAGAGAAATTCAAGAAATCAGAAATGCAAGAGATTTCGCACATAAGGAAAATTATTGAGTTTCAACTGACTGTAGCTATTGTGACATTACATCTCTCCACCCCCATCTAAGCTTTTACAGATATATCAGGCTTGCGTGATTAGGGTGTAGGCACTCAGTTCCCTGTGGTGACTTTCATCTCATGTCAGATTAGTAATGTGAGGTGATAAAAGTGGGAGGAAAGGACTCATAATTCTTGTGAAGGCTGCTGTATTGCCGGGTCGTGTCATCACTTGATATTTCAGATTAATGATGACAACATGCATCCAGGCCCTGGGATACAGCATTCCCCTCTCTAAAGCCAAATAAATATAAAAGAAAGTTGTGAGGGGAATTGACTGGGGGAAGGATTAATTATACTACTATAGGATTTTGAGGTGGTTTCCTATGTTGCATTCTCTGTTTGCAGAGAAGTAGCCCTAGGAGCACAATTTCCTGGAGAAGTAGTGACTCTTTTGTGACAACCTTTCAGTATATCAGTGGCGTTAATGCAAGCAATGAAAATGGAAGATAACTATTTTTAAATGACTGGTGAAAATATAGGCTCCCCAATTGTCCTATGGGCTAATTTTAAACAGGATTTGATCTGAAGTGAAAAATGCAAATTGGAACATTTTCTAAGAATGCAGAATTCTGACATTATAACAATACCCTACCAATGAATACAGGGACTGAGAGGTGGATTGTGTTAGTTGCCTTGGTGGTCTCTCTTTCCTCTTATAAACTCATGTCTGAGTTGATGACTTCATGATATAGAGGCACTCAAGGATGAAACCAGGTTCCAGTAAAATTCCCTAAACACAAGAATAAAACATTGAGAAATGTATTCTGAAAGCAAACGTTTACTTTCAATCAACAAAATAATTCTTGAAAAGTTTCTGCTAGCATCAATTATATCACCAGCACCTTCTCTTTCAAATTCCAGAAACCAATATTGTTTAATTATTCTGAGTGTTATATTAATTGATGGGTAAAGAGAGGGAGGAAGAGAAGGAGGGAGGGATTTAACTTGCTTGCTGAGTTTTATGCCCATGGGGCCTATCTGGTGTAGAATGATGGCCTTTTCCCTCAACTATATTTGCTGGGATGTAGATCAAATAGAAATAGCAAAATCAGGGTTATGGTAGAACAATCTCCTTTTATAATACCATGTTTGTCTTTAAGAAGAAAGACATTTTCCATTGTGATCTTTGTGGAAGTTTGAAGAATGGCCTAGCCGTAGCCCATCAAGAATTCATCTCCATCTCCCTTCTTCCAGCATATACCCATCTCAGTTGCATGTAAAAATGCACTAAGAATCCACATAAAGGGCTCAAAGAAGATGGTAGAGAACAGCCTTTATATAGACAACAGACCCACTGCTGTCTAGATCAATAACTTCTGAATCAAGCAGATGGTTTGCAATTTTTAATCTAACAAAAAAGTAAGCTAGCAGCTTCCAAAGTGTGAAATCTAAACATTAAGGAATAGGGTTTATATTTGGCTGCAGTCAAATCCTTTAAATAAACAGTCTTTCGTTACTAAAAGCTTAATGCATTTGGAATTTAGTTTTCCAATCTTGAAATTTAGCTGGATCCAAAATATGGAATGGAGTGAAATGTATTTGCCTTGAATCTTCCAAAAATGGATTTATCCAAACCTTGTAGCATTGGCTTGCTGTTTGCAGAGAGCTTCGCTCATTACAGATTTTGAAGAAATATCTTGATGAGGAATCTTTTTCTTGTCTATGTTGTCTGTGGGGTAAGCTGGCTGTTCAGCATGATTCAATATTGCAGGAATTCTTGAGGTGCTCTGTGTTTTCTTAAGAAGATGGAGTTTTCATAATCAAAATCCATTCAACTCAATATGTTACATCTTTTTACTCTGTCTCTGGCAGGCTTTCCATGTCTGCCTCTCGTATTGCTAAGGTGTTGCCTACATTGTTTTCAGCTGGGGCTCATCTTTCCATTGAGCCAACTGTCATATGATGGGATAATACGCTATCTTTGGAATAGAAGAATAGTTTTTGCATTCTTTACCATCAACAAACCTACCAAAGGTCATCCCAAGGCTCTATGGCTTGTTATAGTTGGAAGTAGTATATATATCCTGCATTCCAGGAGGACACATGCATTGGACATTGGATAGGGAAAGGCTCTTGTAATATTGGCTTGTGTCCTTCTTCCTTCCAATCTACCTCACTTTCCATTGAAAGTCATCTTTCCTGAGCCTGCGGAAGTACCTATGTCTATGGAAGACATAGGCCAGTATCTGGGCAGTCCCACTCTAGTACTGTACATATAAACCAATATACCATCCAAGTGAATTAATATTGTAAGGTATAATTGATGAAGATGCACTACTTTGGGGCTCAGTGGACCTTCTGCTGTATTATAACATTTTTCAAAGAGCCCCTTGACTGCAAAGACAAAGTAAATATGTGAGGATTATGGGATGAGAGTCTTACTAGTGAACGCCTCTCTTCATGCAAGGACAAGACTAACTACCACCCTCCATGTCACATAGATCAGCCTGATAATCCAAGGTGCTGTAGCTCACAAAATACTTCTAGGATGGTTGCTCTGCAGGTTTAATATGTACAGTACATTTTGGATTTCAGTCTTGCAAATTTTAACATCTCAATGTGACTCCCATCTCCTTCATGTTATATGGCAACCTGCAGAAAGCTACTCTTATTGGGGAATCCTCCTTCTCATGTTACTATCAGGAGCTAAGGATTCCTTCCCAAATCCTGTTTTGATTTGGATCTACGTGTCTCTTTGATTTTTAATAAGTCTTCAGAGGTAACTTTTCCCAGTTAAACCAAAAAATATATAACATTATACTGGGAAATTGTTTGTTGTATGTACTCCCTGCAAAATGTCATGTTTGAATGCTCTTATGTCCATTTGATAATAATATCCCCACAACATATCTCCCATGTGGCATTTTCTCTTGCATTGACCACCAGGAGACAGTAGGTAGTCAGTTTCATTCTTACTAGATATCAGTAGAAGTAGAGGCCGGTCTTATTTTATGGGTTTAAAACCTCTAGCAGGAACTGTTCTTGTGGACCTTGATATTTTAGATTATTATATAAAATGCATTAGCTTTAGGAGCTATCTAGATTCCGGTGAAGGACAATCACTTGGAATCATGTTTTACAGAATGGAAACTGAGGATGAGACATGTTACTGGCTTAAAAGCTTCTGTATATTCTTATGACTGAGCTTTGATGGGGGAACATGTGACTTCAGGACCAACAGGAACTCTCATCCCAATGTCCTGCAGGATTTGTTGTCAACTGGCTTTTCAGATGCTGTAGGTGTAGGTCCAGCAGTTTTTTTAGGCTGTCTCCCTAGGATTCGCGTCCTCTTCTGCTATGGAATAACAAAGTCAAGAAGAGAAAGAAAGTCTATCTATCTATCTATCTATCTATCTATCTATCTATCTATCTATCTATCTATCTATCTGTGTTTTTAGGTGACCAAAGATTTTAATCCTGCTGGGTGAGACTTCTACTGGTGGTATGATAAGTGGCTTCAGCTCTTTGCTTCCCCCATGACGTGAGAACTGGGGTTGTACTAAACTAATTGATTCTATTTGTTCAATGCTTTTCTTGTATAAGATGATGCACATCTCAGCTTGTGTTGAATCTAGCATACAAGCAGGCACAGAGGGTTACAGCATTCCTTTGCAACACCAGTCAACCACTTCTGCTCTTCTTGTAATTGTCCCTTGTGCTTAAATATGCAAAGTCATATGAAGTTCCCTGTTGGTTTTGCCCTCTGGTGTGCAGGGTTGTATACGTAATTAACGGCTGGCTGCTTGTACCGTTGGAGCTTCTCTGCTGTGGCACGCAGGCTTCACTCATCTTTTAGTTGGGCCATGGGCTTCCTTGTTTGCTAGATTGATGTATTCAAGTTACTTCTCTTGCTCTCAAATTGTGATCCACTGCTACTTTGGCTTGGTGCTCAGGTATTTTTGAAAACACTTGTCTACTTTTTCTCTCTTAGGCTCCCTTTCAGCTTTGTTGAGTCTAACATTCTTCTAAACATCTTAACTTTGCTGGGCTTTTTCTGGCAGACTGTGGCAAGATTGCTTTCTCTGGCTTGAAATGCTCTTTTCCTGGTTTTTTTAGTAGTTGATTCTCCACTCCAAAACAAGTCTTCCTTCTTGCTGCTGCTGCTTCTGGTGACTCAACAGCCTGAAGCCATAGGCTGGGACGTGCCTGAATATGATTTTTGGGCTGGCTGTGCTGGTACATCTTGGCGTTCTGGGTTAGTGCAGTTATTTTACCCGGTCACGTTGCTTGCGACCAGCTGGTTTCTTCGCTGAGTAAGCCACTTTCCAGGTAGGAAAAAACCAAGGATGGGAGACCTGTCCGAAGAGCCCTCGACCAAAGTGAGATTGGAAACATTTGAAGATTTGAAGGGGAGAGGGAGGGTATCTTCGCTCCTAGAACTGCTGCAGTCTTGTCAGCCAAAATTGTCAAACATCTACTTTTAGATGGATCAGAAAGCACTGATTCTCTTTCTATCCCTCAATACAGTTGTCTGTAATTTTTTTAAGTGCTTTTAAATAAGTTGCAAGTAGCCATTTGTGTGATGAGTGGTCACTTGGATAATTATTTGCCACCGCCCCTTGCAGGTGCAACTCTCAGTAAGGTGAGGATTATGTCCATACCATACTGGTTTTCCTTATATAAGCACAAGCATTGTCAATAAGTGACTAGCATCCCATAGCCTGTTAGTATGTAGGATAAAGTGTCTTACATAACTCAGCTCACTGAAGGCTGTAGAAGTGCATGGTGCATTGGTTGATCTGATATTGCATGCATAGGAATAGGTGACTTGCATATGATTGACCCCCTCATCCCAGATAGTTCAGATGAATCTTTGCAACATAGCTTTACCAGAGAAGAGAGCCTCCTTCTTTTGCTATTGTACAGCCAGAGCAACATATTGCTCTCCCATGTCCTTGGGTTTGGCGTTCTTTCTACTTGAGATCTACCAGGATGCCAGGGGCTGAACAGAGGTGCCTTCTGCTGCTGCTGATGAATGCACTGTCATGTGTGTGTCTTTAAATAAAATAAGGCAGTCTCCATAATTTCAAACAATAGAGTATATAATGTCACTCTTCAAAACTATTAGGATGTTTGGCAACTCTGAAGCTGCCTAATTTATTTTTTAAGAATCATAGTTGAAAGGGGCAGTGTAGACCTATGAATGCACTCCCTCACTCAGTTCTGGAATCCAAATTAAAATATTCCAGACAGATCAATGTGTGGACTCTACTTTCATATATCTGGTGAAGAGGAATCCACTACTTCTCGGGGTCTTTTTTCCTTTTCTCAGACTGTTCTTATTGTTAGGATTTATTTTTCCTGAAATTCATTTGGAATTGGACCTCTAAGTCAAAAGTTTTGTGTCTCGCATTGTGGATTGAGACAAGCCTTGTCCTCCTTTTGTGTTGCAGCCATGCAGTATATGAGGAGTGCTAATTTATCCTATGTTGAACATCTTTTCTCAAGAATAAACTTTCTCAGTACCTTCAATCTCTTTTCATAGTTCTCTGGTCAATTAAATTGATCTTCTTTGAACCTATTCTAATGTCTGTGAACATTTCTTAAAGTATGATACCCAGGATTAGCAACGGTAATTGAGATGTCTGGCCAAAGGAGAATAGAGTGGAATAATTCATCCTCATGATTTGGAAATTATATTTCTTTTAAGGCAGCCTAAAGTAGCATTTGCAATCACTGTAGTCATATCACACTGTTAGCTCCTACTTGGTTTGTAGTCACTTACTTATCTTTTTTGCAAACAATATTAACCTTTTGGTCAGGTAGTTTCCTCAGTGAAGAATTTCACACTTCCTCCTGTTAAATTTCACTCAGTTACTTTCATTCCATTTAACCAGACTACCAGATTATTATTAGTATTATGTGTGAGTAACCTACAGTTGTCTCAAAGGTGCTTTTTCAAGTATTTTTTTTTTCTCTTGAGGAGAAAGAAGACATTTCACTTCTCATAGAATAGAACAGAATTCTTTATTGGCCAAGTGTGATGGGACACACAAGAAAATTGTCTTGGTGCAAATACTCTCGTATACATAAAAGAAAAGATACATTCGTCAAGAGTCAAGAATCATAAGGTACAACAATTAATGGTAGTCATAGGGTACAATAAGCAATCAAATCATACTAGGAAAGTCCATATAAATCATAAGGATACAAGCGACAAAGTTACAGTCATACAGTCACAAGTGGGAGGGGATGGGTGATAAGGAGTGATGAGAAGTTTAACAGTAATAGTAGTGCAGACTTCGTAAATGGACAGTGTTGAGGGAATTATTTGTTTAGCAGAGAGATGGCGTTCGGGGGAAAACTGTTCTTGTGTCTAGTTGTTCTGGTATGAAGTGCTCTATAGTGTTGTTTTGAGGGAAGGAGTTGAAACAGTTTGTGGCCGGGATGTGAGGGGTCTGTAAATATTTTCACAGCCCTCTTTTTGACTCGTGCAGTATACAGGTCCTCGATTGAAGGCAGGTTGGTAATAATTGTTTTTTCTTTCTTCTCATCCAAGAAGCTTCATTTTCTTTTTCTTCATTTCACGACTTTTTTTTTTCCTCAAGGGGGAAAAAACATAGTCTATTTGCCATTTAAAAAAGCACCTTTGAGACAATCATGACCTGGATGACTGAGAATCTCCATAGATGTAATCTACAGTTAGACTCACAGTCTAAGACTGGTGAAAACTTACTGTGGTTCATTGCACAGTTAGCCAGATGTTTAGACTGGATATGGCATTTTTATCCACCTATCAAACCCTTTCCAAGGACCTAAAATAGTGAGATGATGTTGTTTGATGGTATTAAATACATTTTAAGATGTTCCAAGTAAAACTGCCTTTTGCAATTGATTGGAAATAGTTTTGTCAATGCTGATGGTGTTCAAGTGTTGCTAGATGATTTGGGATTGCACCCAAAGTGCCTATTACTATTATTATTTTGCCTTTTGAAGTATTAGCTGTATCATCTGAAAATCTGACAAGCATTTCCTCCACCATTTCATCTAAATCATCCGGAAAATGATTGAACAGTAGAGGAGTGATTGTTGTGGCACTCCATTCAAATCCTCTGTTCAATTTGATATAGGTAGAACTATTAATCTGCAAATTTTGAATTGTTTTAATGTTTTTAAGTTGATTTTTTAAAGAAAGAGATAAGTAAGCTGGCATTCTGCAAAAGACTACCCTCAAGCATAATTTGTACTTCTTCAATGTCTTAGGGACCCATCTAGAGTCCATTTCATTTTTTGTTCCTAAAAAATGAAATAAAATCCAGGGTTTTGTCTGCTTTCTGATGCCTCACGCACCCTAGAACCATTCTGTGAGTGCCCATATAATTCTCACAGAGTTCCATATTATGTTCAAGAATCTCAAAGGTGGGTTCCCTGCTTTAAGGTCAAAGTTGGGGAATTCTTATCTGATCTTCCAGATTTTGAACAACCTTAGAAGTCTTCTTACTTCCTTTAAGCATCCATGAAACATTTGTATACTCTTTTGAGTTTTGACTTGATTCTAAGAACACTAACTAGCATCCTATGTGCTTCATGAAAATGTAGATTGCTTCTCAGGGCTCTTGTATTGGCTGACACAGGCCCTCATCACCTGACATAAGATCACCCTTGTCCTCTGTAATATTTGCAATTGCAACCATAGACCAGAACAAGTTTGTTTACTTTAATGTTTAGCAAGTCATGCTACAGTTAATCTCAATTATTTTGATTGCTTTAGCTTTGGTTTTCTGCTATGTTCCCAATAATTGCTTCTTTTATTGCCTTTTTTTTTTTTTACTTATGTCCTCCCTAATTTACAGACCTGAAGCTTGCACAGAATATTCTGGACATGATAAAATTAGGCTTTGGTTGTATTTATGGAATGCCAAATGTATCCAAACTGACAGATACACTCTGTACTAATACCAGTATCTGGGAATGCTGAACACCCAACCAAGATGGGTAACTTAGCTGACAGTATTGTAAAAGCCTTGATTGGCCAAAACAATGTTGGGTGGCAAATACAAGTATGGGCTGATCTTTCCACAGATTGTGACTTGGAATGTAGGAGGAGTAAAGGGGAAAGAGCATACATTAACAATGAAAGAAGAGAAAGAAAAAATATTGCAGCTCTGTGAAATTAAGAGAATGGGGAACAGAAGTCTTCTTTAACTGTTCATGTATTTTTCTGAACTCAGTGGCTAATGCACAAGCCCAAGAAAAGGCATAACTTCTTTAAAGGGTAGCCAACAGGTAGAGAGAGAACCTAGGCTGGATTTTTGCCTGGTTCACATCCGAATGAATGTCTCTCATTAGTCTGATCTTGTAGAGTAGCATTGATGAATACATGCAGGGAAGTGAATGCTATTCGTACAATAAAATTAAAATTAATTTCCAACATAATGAATAAAAAGTGGACATAGCCTTCCATTAGGGAAACCTCTTGAAACAAAACAGATACAATTATGTGGCAGAGTTCCACAGAAATGTATAAAATTACAGCAATGGAAAATAGGAAAAAGGATGCTTGATGGAATGATTAACTAAAAGAGGCTGTTAGTAAGAAAAATGCATATACAAAAATGACTAATGCAGTGACAGAGAAAAAAGATATTTGTAAAGCATATGGACAGAAGAAAGATAGTTGTGAATAAGGTAGTCAGTGACAGCAGAGAACTATTAAGATTACTTGTAAAAGGGCAGAGAAAATGCAGAATGCTTTTGATTAAAATAAATAGTTTGGGAAATACTCCAGGTGAAGAGATCTAACCAAGGAGCCTCCATCAGTGTGAAGGGAATTAAAGTGATGAGATGGTGTGGGATGTACTCTAACTCAAATGAGGGAATTTTTGAAGGAGTATTTTAGAGATTTGTGTGGTAATGACTTGTCAAAGAATGGTTTTAAACAAACACTATAAATGTTAGTGTTTAATGAAAAATAGTCAGAATGTTGAGAAATGATAAGGCTACAGGTGCAGCTGGTGTAACTGGAAATGTTTAAATATGGATGTGGTTTGTTAACTTGAGTGGCATGACTTGTGCAACACCTGTAAAGACTGAAGCTGTATCTGATGCGTGGAAGAATCAATTATTGTTCCCATGTACAAAAGAAAAGGAGCAAAAGTGAAAAAAAATGCACAAGAGAGATTTAGTATGTTAACTGTATTTAGTACGTTAATCAGGGGTGGGATTCTACCAGTTCGCACCTATTTGCTAGAACCAGTTGTTAACATTCTAAGCAGTTCAGAGAACCGGTTGTTAGAAGAAATTACTGGCCTAATCCTGTAAGGAAGGCAGGAAGGAAACATTCTGATGTTGCTTACAGAAACTGCTTCTCCGTTAACCC